ATTATAAATCCCAAAAACACTCCTCCTTTTTGTCACAAATGGCAAGGGGAACTCCAATCAACTAAGCAGGACCATCATCTCCGCCATCCACGTCCTCAGAGTCCTCAGCGTTAGAGTCATAATCTCAGTGCTCGCGCATCCACCGACTACCGCGCTGAACAAGAGCAATTGCCCCTCGCAATGTAGCTAACTCCACAGTATGATGCTCGGAACAGCTCGTAATTGAGTAATGTTAGCCATCATGCGGGCCTGCTGCTCAATGAGAATCGACATCTGACCCATAAGCGCAACAGTGGGGTCAACAGGGACAGTGGCCGGCGCAGGCTGGGCAGGTGGTGGAATAGGAATGGAAGAAGAGGGAATATCTGATGTGGACGGAGGAATCTCGGGAGGAGGCAGAGGAATAGCTGAAAGATCAGCAAGTAAATCACCCAAAGGATCAGCGGGCACTGTCGGGTCGACAGGTTCAGCCGACTCAGTAGGAGCAGAGGCAGAAGAGGTGACATGCGACTTACTTTGAGAGATCGTAGTGTGTCCTATGGGACGAAGTACCCGTCGTGAGACCCCATCAGGAAAGGAAGCCCCAAGTGATGTCACCAAGTAGTAAATCAAGCAAGCATATGGCAGACCAATCCGATGACCGGAAGTGCGAAATGTACGCAGAATGTGTTGGCAAATGAAGGTAGGGAGGTCAACCGAATCCCCATGCAGTAAAGCAAAAAAAAACCTCGCCTTGTCCATAGGGAGAGAAGAAGTGTGGGAGACAGGCCACAAATTTGTACACACAATGCGCAACAAAATCTGCCTATCAGTGGGGAGCGAACCAGTGCGGATCGCCTTAGGTCCACCCCCTAAGGGGCTGTTAAACAAAGTGGACCGAACCAGAGAATCGGCCGGAATAGACTCAGGCAAGAGACAGCGGTAAACGGGGTGAATGACACGGGGAACATGGATGGAACTGGAAATAATGTCGGGGGAAATCTTAATCCTAAGGGTTTGACCCCGGAGGAACACCCGGAAGGATGAACCACTAATGTCATGGATGTTCGCATAGAACTCCTGAACAAGAAGACTAGGCGAAGGATTTAACCCAATCAGGAAGGATTCCCAACCCCGAGAAGTAAAGATAGCGGCCACATCAGGTGATAGATCGGATAGAGTAACCTCACGCTCGACGAGAACAGGACGACGGGAAAATTGGCTCCCAAAGACTTCTTGAGCAGTAGAGGAAATGAACCGAGAACGACTAAACGAACCCGATCCACTACCAGGCTGAGCTGTGGTCCTAGCCCTCTTGGGTGCCATCTGCAAAACGCGAGAAATCAATCCTCAATGAAAACGAAGTAAAGGAGACACATAACTAGACAGGCCCTAAAAGACTATCACGCCCAAGCCGGTGTGTTATGGCTAAGACAGGTGCGATCGAAACTAGACATAGACAAGAGCAAAATGAAAGTGTGACACACATACACACGGCCAATATAAGTGGAGAATTGAGGAGTCCGATTTCAAATAATCGTTCAAACATCTAAGCAACGAATTGGTAAGTGAGTGGTGCGAAGTGTGATAACTTAAACGATGAAGGGTGCATAGCTCGATATAGGAACTAAGGTCAAATAGATAATGATCACACATGTGTAGTACCTAAGACACCAAGTATACATGAGAAATGACACGCAATGGGCAAGAGAATTAAGGCAATGGTGATGAGACATTTTATCGAACACATTGTATGCATAAGAAGGAGAAGCAACAAATGCAAGTATGTAAGAGACACCCAACACCCCATAACACCACCATCCACCGAGCACACCACAGACACCCAATGCCAAAGAGACCAAATGGCGAAAAGAAAGAAGAAAACAAATAAAAAATGAATCAAAAAGCAAAGAGACCAAATGGCGAAAAAACAAAGTACTTACCAAAAGTGGAGGAAGAAATCGCAAGAAAAGCACACAAAGGATGGGACTTGAATCTCCACACGTGAGAGAAACACAGACAAATCGGCCTTGGGTTGTTGATTTGGGAGAAAAGAACGAGAGAGAAAGGGAAGAAATGAAAAATAAAAAAAAGGAAAGGCGCGAGAAAACAAAAGGGCTCGCTGTCGCTCGAGTGAGACTCTAGCGAATAGCGAGCGACAAAGGTTCTGCTTCTGTCGCTCGAGCGGGAGCCCAGCGACAAGCGAGCGACACGAAAATGACAAAAATAGCACCCAGATTTGAAAAGTTAAAAAAATAGCCCCAAGTTGAAAATTAACCAAAGTAGCAGCACTTGTGAAACTTTTAAAAATAGCACCTTTTTTAGAAATTTGAATTTAGACCAATTTTTTTTTTTAAGGCCCACACACCGGAACCAAGTATAGATGGAGTAAATTGTATATGTAACCCCTCGTAAAACGTGCTACTCATTCCAAGCAAGTAAGAATCAGACCTTAAATTTGTGAGAAGAGACAGCCAAACACTGACATAGGAGGCAACACTTAGATGAGTGAAAGTCAAATCCAATGCCACTAGGACCTAAACTTCATTAAAATAAGGCGTAAAACTGTTCTTTCTTCTCCTGTCGCTAAGGACTGAATTTTATTATTATTATTATTTTTATCATATCTCATCGTACGTGCAATCTCATCTCCATTAAGCTACTAAGAAGACCCCTGTAATGAGCGTTGGGTTGGTGACTCCCAAACCAGTTGGCTTTAGAGCACCAGGTTATGAGAAACCCTTCAGACTTAATTGCTCGAGTCATCTAGGCTCCGAAGATAGGTATAAGATGTGACAATAAAAATATTTTGTGGAAACACACGGGGGTACATCAGAAGTTAGGCCATCTAGTCCAAGATCAATTCAAACCCAATGTCTACTCAATGACAGATGATAGCCATCTCAAGTCCCACACATGCGGTCAAGACTCACTCACATGGTCCTTGTGTGTGTTGTGCAAATATAATATGAAGTGACATATACTAAGTACCCCACACAGACTCAGTATAGGTGACGGGAATTAGAAACTAATCACTTATAGAATGCACATTTGATGTCAAATTGCAACTCCAAGGGAACAACTACAATGCAAAAATGAGATGTGATGATCAATTTTATTGTTTTAATTTTTTTATTAATTTTTTTTATTAAAAAAAATGAGGCAAATGAACACACAGAGGTAACGGAATGAATGAATAAACAAAGAAAAAGCATGCATCCATGAAGACGATCAGGGAGGAACACAGATGCCAACAGCCTGCCTAAGTGACTCGAATCTGAACCCATCTAGAGGTTTAGTGAACAGATCGGCAAGTTGATTATCAGTGGAGAGGTGTTCAAGAGAAATCACGTTGGACTTAACGAGTTCACGGATAAAGTGATGATGAATATCAATGTGTTTGGTCCTAGAATGCTGAACCGAATTTTTTGATATGTTGATAGCACTAGTATTGTCACAGAAAATAGTCATAGTACCCTGATTTATCCCATAGTCACTCAGCATTTGTTTCATCCAAAGCAGTTGAGTGCAACAGCTACCAACTGTAATATATTTTGCCTCTGCTGTGGACAAGGAGACTGAGTTTTTTTTCTTACTAATCCAGGAGACAAAATTAGAACCAATATAAAAAATCCACCGGAGGTACTTTTTCGATCGTCGGCGTTTTCGGCCCAATCGGCGTCAGAATAGCCGGCTAGTTCTAGATTGGACTCTCTGGAATACAGGATCCCATGATCTACTGTTCCATTAACATATCTAATAATGCGCCTTACTGCACTTAGATGGGACTCCTTAGGATCAACTTGAAATCTAGCACATACACCAACACTAAACGCGATGTCAGGTCTACTGGCAGTGAGATATAGTAAACTGCCTATCATGCTCCTATACACAATCTGATCAACACTCTTACTCGTAGGATCATGTCCTAATTGAACAGTTGTGATCATGGGTGTCCTTGTGTGTTTCTTACTGTCTAAACCAAATTTCTTTATAAGGTCTTTGGCATATTTTGATTGCGAGATAAACAGCCCACAATCAGTTTGCTTTACTTGAAGACCAAGGAAGTAACTTAGCTTCCCAACCATGCTCATTTCAAATTCTTGTTTCATGCATTCAGCAAATTCAAGAGCAAGGGAGTCAATGGGAGATCCAAAAATGATGTCATCGACATAGATCTGAGCTACAGTGATAGTTTCTTCAATATGTCTAATGAATAAGGTTCTGTCAACACCACCTCGGGAGAACCCATGCTCAACGAGGTAAGTGGTAAGTCTATCATACCAAGCCTAGGGGCTTGTTTCAGACCATACAATGTTTTATTTAGCTTGTAGACATAATGAGGAAATTTAGGGTCAATGAATCCTTTCGACTGTTCAACATACGCCTCTTCTTGGAGTATTCCATTCAAGAATGCACTCTTGACATCCATTTGATATAGCTTGAACCCTAAGGTACATGCAACTGCAAGAAGAATACGAATGGACTCAAGATGAGCAACTGGGGCAAAAGTCTCATCAAAATCTACCCCTTCCACCTGAGTGTAACCCTGCGCAACTAGTCTAGCCTTATTCCTAGTTATAGTACCTTGGTCATCGATTTTGTTCTTGAAAATCCACTTAGTACCTATCACATTAGAGTCATCAGGCCTAGGAACTAGATTCCAGACATTATTTCGAACGAATTGATTAAACTCCTCATGCATGGCATTCTCCCAGCATTCGTCTCTAAGGGTTTCCTCTACTTTTTTAGGTTCAATCTGGGATACATAGCTGGTATATGTTAGGTTATTTAGAACTCTCTTTCGTAACCTCATTCCTTCATCTAAATCCCCAATGATGTTAACCTTAGGATGATTAAATTTGACCCTGGAAGATGGTTCTTTGGCGAGCTTAGACTGATCTCAATTTGGTAGACTCTGCTCAGATACGTTTTCTGAGGATCGTGGAGATTTTGGGATTAAGTGCTCTTTATTTTCAGTAGTGGCTCCTTGATCTTCACTTAGATCTTCTATGTCAACCTCATTTTTCAGTACTCTCCCCCTCAGTAAAGGCATCATCAATAACAACATTTACAGATTCCAAGGCACTCTGAGTATGCAAATTGTAAACTCGGTATCCTCTACTGTTCTTAGAATATCCCAGAAAAATCCCATCATCACTTTTGGAATCAAACTTGCCTAGATTTTCTCTATCCCTCAGAATGTAACATTTGCTGCCAAATACCCGAAAGTATTTAATGGTAGGCTTCTTGCCTTTCCAGATTTCATAGGGAGTCTTGTCTGATTTCGGTCTCAAGTATACCCTATTCATTATGTGGCACGCGGTGTTAATAGCTTCACCCCAGAATTGCATTGCTAGATCCTTGTCGTGAAGCATGGCCCTAGCCATTTCTTGAAGCACTTTATTCTTCCTCTCAACAACACCATTTTGCTGTGGCGTGATTGGTGAGGAGAACTTATGCTTAATCCCTTCCTCCAAGCAGAAGTTTTCTAGATTGAAGTTTTCAAATTCTTTTCCATGATCACTTCGAACCCTAAAAATAGGAAGATTTTGTTCAACTTTGAGTCTTTTGTATAAGGACTTAACCAGATCACCCGTCTCAAATTTTTCTCTCAAGAAATCAATCCAGGTGAATCTAGAAAAATCATCTACCACAACCAGGATATACCATTTGCCTCCTAGGCTCTCTACCCTAGATGGTCCCATTAAAACTATATGAAAAAGTTCTAGGGGTCTATTCGTTAGGATTTTCGAGGTTCGCTTATGGTTTATCCTGAGTTGCTTTCCTTGTTGACACGGCTTGCACACAGCATTCTCACTTTGATCAATCCTAGGTAAACCATCGACAATCTGCTTTTTGACCAATTTAGACAGACTTCTGTAGTTAACATGACCGAGTCTTTGATGCCAAAGTTCAGACATATCAATTTCAGCACTACTGCATAAATAGTTCGAGTTTGGAAGAACTCCATAACAGTTATCAGATGTTCTAACACCTTCAAGAACAACATCACCAAAAGTGTCATAAACAGTGCATCTCTTTTGGACAACTCACTTCATAGTCAGCATCACAGATTTGACTAATGCTCAACAAGTTGGACTTAAGGCCCTCTACATAAAGTACATTGGATATTGTAACAAGTCCAGCAATGGTGATGGAGCCTTTGCCTCGGATGGGTGCCGTAACTCCGTCCCCAAAGGTAACTACACCGCCGTTGCAGTCATCAAAGGTAGAGAATAAGGCCTTGTTACCACACGTGTCTAGAACAAGCACTATCAAGATACCACATGCATGTATTTTGTGTTTTATAAGCAACATGAGCAACACAACATTTTAGATTCTTGGTATACTCACCCACATCAGATTTCTTTACCCAAACTTTTCTCGAGGTCAAGGTGATCCTAGTCAACCTTGTTACCGTCTCAGTTAAGTACCTAACCTGATTTGAAAGGAAGTTCACTTGACTAGGGATATCCTGACTTCGATTCCTATTTACTAGCTTTCGACACCCAGGTCTCGTGTGGCCTAAGGCACCACAGTGATGACACGTGGGTATGAACTTAGGTTCAGATGTACGAGAGTGTTGATTATAAAAATTAGATGTAGAGATCTTATGACCTCTAATGGTCTTCAGTCCATTAAAGTTTTTGTCTTTGAATTCTGGATTTGTTGAAACATTAGATCTGTTGGAAGCAGGGACAAATGTGGTCTTTTATAAACTAGACATATTGCTATCACTCTTCACAAATCCTAGACCTTGCCTATTTCCAGCTGGTTTGTTCATTCCTAACAAATCGTCTAGTTTCTTAGTTCCATTCACAAATGATTGCAGTTGAGTGTTGGATCTCTCTAATTCACAGATCAATGTCTTGACCTTGTCCTCTAATATCTCATTAACACACTTCAACTCACTTAGATTCTTAGACGAGACTTGAAGATCATAGGTGATTTTCTCCTTCTCTCTCTCAAACTCGTCTACCTTCTTAAAAAGGGCTTTATTTACCTTTTTGATCTTGAGACTCTCTTTAAACAGGAGTTGATAAGTCTCATGTATATCCGTCTCATCCTCCGAATCATCACTGGACTTGTTACTCTCAACTTCCTCCTCAACCTTCTCACTCTCCTTGTCTGACTCGCTCTTGACAGTAGATACAAAAGCCATATAGCAATTTTCCTCCTCACTGCTTGAGGAATCACTTTGTTCACGTAAATTAGAATCATCATCAGTCAAGGACACAGCTAATGCCTTCCTATTCACCTTCTTTAGATTTTTCTTAAAGTTAGAACATTCATTTCTATATTGCCCAAATCTCTGACACTCATGACACCTAACCCCTTGAGATTTCTTACCAGGGTTCCCAGTTGTTGATTTATCATTTTTCTCTCTTGGCAATTTGCTAGGAGCTCCTCTCTTTTTCTCTTGAGGCCATTTTTTGCCCTTTAAGACTTTTTGGAATTTTTTCACAAAGTAGGCAATCTCCTCATCTCTAAGAGTTTCCATGTCAGATGATTTAGACTCCCCTTCTCTAACAGTGTTCAGGGTTATGGACTTGTTCTTTCTTGGTTGTGAAATGGTGAGTTCATAGGTTTGAAGGGATCCTACGAGTTCTTCTATCTTAATTGTATCTAGATCTTTGCTTTCTTCAATAGCTGTAACTTTAGGTCTAAATTTCTCGGGCAAAGATCTAAGAACCTTCCTCACAATTTTGGGTTCGGGAATCCTCTCACCTAGGTCGAAACTAGAGTTAACAATGTCATTCAATTTGGCATAAAACTCATCAAAAGATTTATCATCCTTCATCCTGATTTCTTCAAACCTTGAGGTCAGCATTTGCAATTTTGAATTTTTTACAGTTTTGGTTCCCTCATGCGTAGTTTCTAGAATGTCCCATACTTCTTTAGCAGTTTCACACATTGATACTTTCCTAAATTCTTCGGGAGACACAGACATAAATAAGGCATGAAGTCATGTGCTATTCCAATTGCAATAAGCTAATTCTTCCTTAGTCCAAAGTGAAATATTAGTTAGATTGACAACACCTGACACAGTTGTAGAAGGAGGTTTCCAACCATTTTGTACGCTCATCCAAACACGTTCATCTAAGGACTTAAGAAAGGCATGCATCCTAACTTTCCAATAGGCATAGTTGCTTCCGTCAAAATACGGAGGCAGAGACAGTGATTGACTCATCTAGACACAATGGGTCAGGACTCGAGTTTTGGCTCTGATACCACTTGAAATAACGTAGTTCGACCCAATCAACACCTAGAGGGGGTGAATAGGTGTTTATACGGAATTTTCTTTTTAAATCAATTAATTATTGCAACACGTCACAAAAATTAATTTGTCCAGATCAATTCACTTGCTTTACTATCCTATGTTTGAATATCGATCATAAATTAAATGCAGAAATATAAATAACACAATTATTTGATGACGGAGAAACCCCAATGTGGGTAAAATTCCGGGCCCAAGCCAGTAGGAATCCACTATAACCATAAATGAAACTTACAATCAGCCAGACTCAACCTACACTGATTTTTCTGACATCTCGACCATAATTTTCTCAAGTCCTTCCTGGAATGTGTGATCCTGCACCAACTCCCGGCACCTAGCCCTCCTGGATTGTGTGTTGCACCAATTCCCAAGTCTTAATTTTGTTTATCTTCTGTGGATTCAAGAGAACCGCCTGTTCTCTGATGATCGGGACTCCGATCTCCTTCCTTGATCTCCAATGATCAACAAAGGCACTTGAAGCTGGTGTTGTGGTGTTTGATGTATGTTAATTTGATCTTTTTCATGTAATTGATCAAATCAAGTATAGGATTGAATGAGAAAGTTCAAGAATAGGATTGTTGTTCTCACTTTCAATACCTTCAAAGCTCTCTTTTCAATTCAGCGCTCTCTATCTCACAAACCTCTCTATTTGGTATTTCTCATTGGGTTAAAAACATCGAAAAAAGGAAAATAGGGTTTTATAGGTAACACTGTGGCTCGAGCGACAAGCGAACGACGATCTGTTCTTGTCGCTCGAGCGACCACTTGGTGAGCAGCTAGTGAAACTTGACGACACATCTTGCCCTACCACATAGCTAGAACCCTAGCACACTTTGCCAAAATTGCAACTGAGTCGCTCATCTTTTACACGTGCACAATGACCCCTATTGTTTAATAATTGACAAATTGACCACAAACTTTTGAACATTAACACTTTTACCCTTTTGTTCACAGAATAGCCAACACAAAATCTAACAATAATTTTAGTGGTAGCACTCTCTGGATCTACAAACAAAAAACAACTTCAGTTTGTAATACAGAATTGGAAGTTATTCGCAAAGGTCATGAGCTAGCTACACTTGCTAAAACTAGATGACTGATAATATGTTTCCAAAATTTTCTACCAACGTTTGGAGCTAATGGTTTTAATTCTTGGTAAGGATGTAAACCTATCACGTTATGTTAATGGTTTTTCCATTTTAAATCTAGCTTTAACCCTTCACATTCAATTTCAGTCTGGTATTCATATATTCTTGAGTCATGCATTGGAAGTTTCTTGTGCTTGAATCTTGTCTGATTGTGCTAAATTATAATATGTGTTGCGTCTCATATGTACATATGCCAACATGTTTGACATGCTGGAATATTTTGTTTTGCAGACTATTATTGCTCAAATCAATCACGCCATTGGAGCTTCAGGGGTTATAAGCCAGGAATGCAAATCTGTTGTTGCCCAGTATGGGAAAACCATACTTGAAATGTTGTTATCAGAGGTGTAGAACTTGTATTCTTTATCTAATTTTGTTTCGTTTGTTTCAAATTTTTGGAGGATGTACTGCTTCACTTGTATCTGGTGATGAACTGTGCAGAATATCATTAGATGCTATTCTGCTTATGGAGATTTGTGCAATTTGTCTGAGAACCTGAATTTCGCAGTTCATGTTGGTGTTTACAGGCAGAACCCCAAAAAATTTGTTCCAGATTCAGGTTATGCTCTTCTGATGGTACTCACGATGTTAGATTAGATTCAAATTGTTCCCTGGGTTTCTTATCAGCCATGTTAGGCATCACTGTGATCTCGTGATATCATGCCATTATACAAATAATGAAAAGTAGATAAATATAAACATTGATCACCTCCTAAATTTCCACTTTGTCGTAGTGCTTTATATATTTAGCATTTTTTGCATGACTAATTATATTTTTATTGATTTCTCTGGTATCTTGAGTTGTTTGTGTATAAAGTTAATTTAAAACTTGAGTTTGTCAAGCTTGATTATTGAGAGCGTGGTGGACAAGGACAACAAAAAGGCTTCTTATGGTATGCACGATGAGATGTGTACTGCTTGTGAGATGGCAGTCATATGGATGCAAAATCAACTTAGACGGAATCAAACTGAAGAAAAAATTATGGACTATATCAATGAGGCAAGTGACTTGCACATTACGGCTTTTAGAATTCAGTGCATGTATGGTACAATACTGGATAGAGGAGTGGTCAATATAATAAAAACGATTTTAGGTTATATTTCTTTCTTAATACTTTTCAATACTACTAATCCTCCCTACCAAACATGCCATTAAAATGTTGCTTATTTGTGTTTGTGCCAGTACAACTAAAGAAATTGGAAATTGGATAGTAGACATAAAACTTGTTAGACTATTAATGATATGTAACCTTTAGATAACAATGCTTACATATATTAGTCATCCAAAAAGGATCTAAAATTCAAGTTAAGCACTGCATTTCAATCATCTATTACTATTGCGTTTCTTCGAAATTCAGTTACACTCTTGCATTACAAATGTCGACAATGTTCTTCCTTAAATGCTTACGGTGTTATTGTTGCTGCCAGTATGTCCTTCAAGTTGGTGAAGGTGATGTAGCACAGTGTATTAGTGGATTTACAGCCTTAGACGTGCCCCCTCCTCGTAGCCCTTTGTGGTAATCTTCTTGCCCATACATAATAGCGACTACAGTATTCATCCTATGTGGTAGCATGTTATTTGAAGCATTCGTTTCCCGTAATTCTGCTGCCTTAAATAACAAGCTGTCACATAGGATGACCACTTCAATCCCTGACTATGAATAGCAAAATATTCATAAATTGCCGTTCCCTACAATTTATGCTTCATAATTGCTGTATGATTCCTGAATTTTTAACATGTTTGTAGGTTTTTTGGTGATGTTTTCATGGGTCAGTATCACACTGTGTTCGACTATGGGAATATGATTGTTGGATTTGCTGAAGCTGCTTAACTTTATCCTTCTCTGGATTGTGTAAAATCATCATCTGCCACTAAAAGGTCTTTCTATCTGTAGCATTTGAAATCCCAACCCTCACTTTTGTAACAAATGAATCTCCTATGGATGGCATTTTTGGCAGTAGTTTTTGAAACTTCTAACGTATCAAATCTCGTTAACAAATGAGAATTCGAATTTTCCTAAGTATTTCCATTTATGTATTACCCTTTTGGTTATTTCTCATTTGCTGATAGGAAACGATGTGCTGAGATGTCAAGAAATTCATTGGGGGAAACAATCAAATGAAAAATGAAGTAAAGCTGGGATTAGTGGAAATTCCAAATTCAACGTGATTCTTGATACTAAGCTCTTGAAATTTTAATCAACCACTTCTTGCAGTATCCTATTTATATAAAGGAAGCGAGTCATATAGAGAGAATTATATTCTGTGTTTATTATAATGTAATTATTCAATATTCAGTTTTAAAAATAGGAAAAGGAAAAAACTATTTAAAATCAATTGAACATTAAAGATAACACAAATCAATATAACTGAAATTTTAGTTTGTTATTTCATGCAATTAAGTGTCGTTCTTAGTTGAATTATGTAGTTTCTAATAAAAAATTTCATTAAAATTTCTTTAAAATTTCCAAAGTAATTAAAAAATTGAAAATTGCATTTGTTAAATATAGCAAATGGTTTCAAGATTCTAAATTAAGATCCATAAAAGAATGAATAGATTCTCAACTTGACCACATAGAAATAACTGTCTACAAAATACTAGCCAATCAACCTCCTTATAAATAAGAATATTGTGTTGGTGCAAAACATAAAACAAATTTTCTTCGGTCTTCCTAAACGTCAATAAAGAAGAAATATGGAAATGCTTTTCCAAGTTTCATTTCTCTTTGTTGTAGCTTTATGCTTCTTATCCCTTCCTAGCATCGTCTATTCAGAAGATATTCCCCAACCCCCAGTTTCTCAATTCCACATTCAGGGACAGGTTTATTGTGACACATGTCGTGCTCGATTCATCACTGAACTTAGCGAGTTCATTCCAGGTACAAAATTATAATCCATACAAAATGCTACTCACATTATATATATTTTGCTTTTCCATGTTATCCAAAAAAAAGGGGCTATTCAGGGTCCAGGGATGAATTTGTTGTCCACACATTCGTAAAAAGTTTCAGCAAAAGCTGAATTTGAAGCTTGAACTTCCTTATTCAACATTTTATGAGGTAGTTCACCATGCTATTAGAGAATGAGCATGTAGAATTGCAGACATATGTTTAAAATAAATTGTGCACTCGTCAAGCTCATGAGCCTCCACACACGAGAATAAAGTTAAGAATTAAATTTAACGACGCTTTAAACTTCATGTCACATATCATTTCTCTTTCATTTTTACAACATGATCATGCAATAATAACAACACAAACCTATCTCGGATGAAATGAATGCTTGGTTGTAAGAGTTCCGATATTGTGCATTCAAACATCTTCTTTATGGTGGTGTATTTGTCGTTGAGAAACTGAATCATAATAGATAAGATTCATAAATTATAACTCGAATCTTAACTTGTAGGTGCTAGTGTACGCCTCCAATGCAAAGATGGGGAGAATGGAAATATAACATTTACTGAAGTAGGTTACACAAGAGCAGAAGGACTCTATAGCATGCTTATTGAACGTGATCACAAGAACGAGTTTTGTGAAATCACACTAGTTTCCAGTAGTAGAAAAGATTGTGATGAAATTCCTACCGAAGGATGGGTAAAATCGTCATTGAAGTTTATACTTAATACAGTAAATGGTACTACACGCACAATAAATCCTCTTGGATTCTTCAAGAAAGAAGTTCTTCCAAAATGTCCACAAGTCTATAATAAGTTGGGTATGTATCCCCCAAATATGTGAAGAACAAAATGAAGACGTTGGCTGAATAATTTTGTGTGCTTTTTTTGTCAAGGCTTTTGATTGTCAAATTAGAGTGCCTCGTAGAATAGAATAATTTTGCTTTGTAATTTCTCTGAGTTCCCAAGATTTCCTTGTGGGAAGACAATAAAATTTGTAGATTATGATGAGATAAATAATAATTGCAATATGTAATGTAATTTTCTTCTATTATTTGGTTTCAATCTACCGTTTATTTACTAGAGGAGAAAAATGAAAGTTACTTCTAAAGAGACGCTTTAACTCCCATAAAACACCATATACTTGAAAAGGATAAGAATATATATATATGTGTGTGTGTGTGTGTGTGAAAATTACTTGAACTTCATGCAATCAATCAAGTCAAACTCCCTATGGCAGTCAACTTTAAAATCATAATTGCACTTAATGATTCCTTCCATGGCGTGAATTCATCATCAGCTAAAGTTAATACTTTAATTATTAGTTCTCTGTACACAATGGAATGATCAACCTACATTCAATAATCTTGAATTTGTTATCCAGGCATAGTCCAGTAGTACAAAAGACAAGAGTGAGATTATCTCAAGTCTTGCTGGCAGTCGCATTGTGGGGGTTCGATTCCTGAAATATGAAACTGGACTCCTTGTAGATACAGTATACAGACAGCTCATATTCTCTAATCTACTGGGACACATTCCGCGATTTACCTCATTCACAAAGCTCTAGGGGTGAGGCGGTGGGGACCCTCAAGATTGAGGTTCAACCTTTAATAATCTTGAATTTGTTGAAGTTCTTTGTACCCGTGGATCTTGATCTACCGTTTCTTGACTTGACATTATCATGTCTGTCACTTCTATTTGGATTTTTGTCTCTACGTCCAAAGAGAAAAAAGTAATTATTTTGAAGGACGTAGCACTATTGTCATGTATGAAATCACTAATTTAATTTCTTGATTTGCAAATGGAATTTCAACATCGTTGTTTATGCTTTTGCTATCAACGAAGTTATATGTGAAATTGGCTACTTACATAATTGAGAATTCAATTATAAATTACATTAACAAATGAGTACCCAATTTATCATTAAGAAATGCACCGTTACGATAAATATATCGTAAAAAATACAATTTTTAATAGAAAAATCAAGAAATGTGCACGGAAAATTGACATTGACTAATCAAGGGTTGTAAAACGCAAGACCAGAGTAATTTTTTGGAGTAATTTTATATAAATTAATATAAATTATGAAGATTGAAGGGTAAATAAGTACTATATCCAAAAGAGATAAGAGCAAAGACTAATGCAATGTATATTACTATATTTAACATGTATTTGGTATTTTGGTTTGCATAGATGGTTAATTAGCATTTTAACATGTTGGGAAACATATATAATGAGAATTTATATTTCTTAATTGTTTTAGGATTTTGATTTTCAAAGTATAGATATTTAAATTTGTCGTGTAATAAGATAATTCTGGTTCAAAATAATTTTCAGCAAGAGAACGTATGATATATAAACATAAATTCTTTCATTGCATTTGCAAAACACGTTTAAAAAATTAGTATAAGAGCAAGTGTCAACTAAATGTTTGTCCAAAGATTAGATTGTAGAGATAGATATGACTTCTAATATCTTAATGTAAGAAATTTCATGTTGTCTTCTCATCTACACAAGTCTAGAAACAAAAATTTAAGTAAAATAACGGTTATATATAAATAAGCTTCAAAGCTGCTACAACAACAGGGATTGCCAACAGGGTTTCAATCGTCAAGGGGTGATTGGGTAGCTCTAAAAAATAAAAATGAATACACAACTCACCAGGAGCTGCACGCACGACCTGGATGCAAAACCTATTTTTTGGCCCAGTCTTAGCTTAGTTAAGCATGCTCTTCCTGTTACTTTTCTACGTCCAAATATAAAAAGAGAAACTCTGTACTGGATCAAATTATTATGAAATAAAAAACAGAATACATATAAATATTCTCATATTTTTTAAGAACAAAAAACCTCGTATTTTCATTTCATATGTCCAGTCTAATCCAAATTAGAACTGAAAATTTGGAAGATGACATAAAGTTGCAGTTAAGCTTGAAATGAATGGTTTGACACTCACATACCTGAAAAGTCAATAAAATGCAGAAAAATTATTCTAGATTCTATAAAATCCACAGAGCAGGAAAAAAAATAAAAATAAACACAAAGTACCAAAAAATCAATAATACACAAACTAGCCCCCCGGAGCACAGCTCAATTGGTGGATCAATCAACATTATCTTACTTCCAGCGGCAGGGTGAAGAGTTCGATTCCTAGTGGGAACCTGCGGTCAAATATTTGGTATGGAGCAATCACTGTGGATGAAGATCTCTGTGCGCAAAAGTGTACAGACAATAGGGGGAACCTGTGATCCAGTTGAGGCATAACCCGCGATTTACCCCCTCCAAGGTTCTAGGAGCAAGGGTCTTGGAGGTCCAGAATTTAGTATGATATAAGTTGGGATACCTGGATATCAAAAAAATAATAATAATAATACACAAACTAGTCTAGATTTTTGACCACCCAAAAGCCTTAAAAAGCAAGTAAACAAAATGAGAATTAGCCCATGTTTGGTGGCCTTTAATATACTTTAATTTATTTTTAATACTCATTTTTAACAGATGAATTCACACAATAAAATTCTCTACACATAAACTCAAAATTTTTCATATTTTTAATCACACATTCTCCAAAAAATACTATTCAAAACATAGTTTTTTTCAAATTAAAAATCACCAAATAGGGGCTTAGCAAGATAGAGCATAAAGAAATTCGCAATTTCATGTTGTTTTCTTTCAATGAATTAATAATTGATTAATGTGAATTAGGAAGATATACTTGAATTGAATTAATGTTATTAATCCAAAATGAATGTAAAATTAATGTTGGCTAATATTGTAGGCTGCAGATAGGAAAGTAATTGTTGAGTAAAATAGATATTGTATTTGAGTAATGCTATTTAATCTCGTTGGGATTGAAACTCCAATTTAGGTCGTGCTAATATGGTATTAATTGATAGATAGAATTAAATAATTTATTTAATTTCATCTTTCATTTAACCTATCATTTAATGCCACCTAAACTAAAGTTACGATTTCGATGGTGCTATATAGCATTACTCATTGTATTTAGGTAGACAATCACACTCAAACTACGCGTTCGCCCAAAGAAAAGTGTAATTAATTTCTTGCCCCACTTTCCTCACATTTTAAACATGTGAACAACTGGTTATTTCCCCCAAAGAAAATAAGAACTCGATTTGACTTCTTGGTTAACTTAAAATTGAGGATCTATTTGAGCAATCTAGTTGATTGACTACACTCGTTGATAAAGGAAGTCTTAATAAAGTTACTTAGAGACATTTTAGCCCCTGTTTAATTCTCATTCTTTGGAAAAAAAATAAAATAAAAATTATTCTTAAATAGTGATTAGATATCATTTCAATTACTCAATAAAATAATATTACACGTAAATTTAAAATTTTTCTATAATTTTTCAGGGAAATACTATTTGTACACCAGGGTTGACAATCCGATGTACACTCCCCTCACGTGAGGGGGTGGGCTCCACGATAATAAAAAAATCGAGGAATCTCCCTATGTGAGGGGAGTGTACACTAGAATGTCAATACCGACGTACGTGTAGGAAAACTCATTTTTTAAGCACATATTTCCTATTAATGCAATATTCAAATATTCATCTTATCAAAAGAACGGGGCTCAAACAAGGACTTTATCATGAAAATTTGGAGAAAGCATGAAAAATGGAAAAGAAGCCGTAGCAAATGCCTCTTATCGATATTATAATCTAAGCATTCTTGATATATATAAAATTCCTAATATTTTATCGTCCCAAATATAATATCAGTTTCATATCTTTGTACCACTTATCGAACGTACGAGTAAGTATATATTATGTTAGACAATTAAGTAAATAAAGATTAGTAAATGTGATGCAATGTAAGATTAGATGCTTTAAATTCGGCCAACCAACAGATCTGATTTGAATGGGAAGTTGTCCATTTCGCAATTCCAAGTATTGTTGTTTAGTGTGTTGGAAAAGTGGTTTGTCTTCAATTTGGTATAATTAGTTACAACTTCTTGAATCCCTTTTAACTTGTACTTCAAACCAACTCCACCTTCATACATCAAACCACTTTATTCTTCTAGATTCCTTTAATATATTTTTTTCAACACAATAAAATAATGTTTAAGACAAATTTCATATCTCGATTCTTTATTAGAGCCTAACAAGTTTAAACAGTAGATTTAATTTGTCTAAAAGCTCAAAAGAAGAATCGAAATCCAAGATTTGTGTTTTCAAACGAGTTATCATCTTACTCATATGCGTTAAGAATTAAAGTGGAAGAAAGTGATAGTTATAAGTCAGTAGAGTGCACGAGTAGTCAATTTGATAGCTTTGTTAAGTAGTCATCAATCAAGTGATTGAATTATTGGAAATCATAAGCTCTTTTTCCATTCGTATTGTCAACTTTTTAAAGCCTTGATTTACAAGTTAAAAACCACTGCAACAAACAACAGTTCAAATCTTAAGATTTCAAAAATTATTCTTTACTTTCATCTAGAAGGTAGGTTTATCAGGGATTAGTACTAAATAATAATTATTATTAATGCAATTTCCATTCAACAGACTTGACCTAATTTGCCTAATATTATATTCACTTAAACAAACTATTTAGGATATCCATATCCACATAAATATTTAATAATCCGTGTTTGAATTTGTTGATTATTATGCCTGGATTTTAAGTTTCGACCAAAAAGAGGAATACCCAGAAATCCAATTTCAGTATTCTCGATTATCCAATCCAATCTATCCACCATGACCAAATCTGCTAAGCTTTGCCCTCTTCCACATAAAATATTGCCACGTGATAAAGGGCCTTTTGCTAAGTAATTGCCACTCCACTTGTGTAATTCCTCACTATGCCACGTTATTAAATGAATCGTCAATTCTAGGGAGAGATAGGCAACTAATGACCACTGCCCAACTAATTTGGACACACCTTTCAATTTAAAATGACACACTATATATAGGCCCCATTCCGAAGACAGCACACCCCATCTAAACTATCTTCTTCCATTCAATTTTACTTCTCCCAGAAATGGAGTGGACCAGAGGGCACACCATAGGCCGTGGCGCCACTGCCACCGTGTCGATAGCCACTTCGGGGTCGGGTGACGTATTTGCAGTCAAATCGGCATACCTATCGAAATCCGAATTCTTGCAAAGGGAGCAAAAGATTCTGTCCACTTTGAATAGCCCTTTTGTAGTTGAGTACATAGGGTATGACATTACCCAACACAACAATACAATCATGTTCGATTTGATGATGGAATATGTTCGTTATGGTACGCTTGTGGACGTCATTCACAAGTGCGGCGGCCGGCTGGATGAATCCATGATCAGTCACTACACACGCCAAATTGTTCAAGGATTGGAATATCTCCATTGAACTGGTATAGTGCATTGTGATATCAAGGGGAGGAACATTCTGATAGGAGAAGGTGGTCTTAAAATTTCAGATTTTGGTTGTGCCAAGAGGAAAAATATTCCAGTGGAAGGTATAAGGGATGATAGAGAGGCATCGATAGGAGGCACACCGGCGTTCATGGCACCAGAAGTTGCAAAAGAGGAGGAGCAGGGATTTCCAGCTGATATTTGGGCATTAGGATGCACGATTATTGAAATGGCCACAGGCGGTTCGCCTTGGCCTAATCTTAGCCATCCATCATCGCTACTTTATCGAATTGCCTTGTCAGAAGAGTTACCGGAGTTTCCAGCGTTCCTTTCGGACAAAGCAAAAGATTTCTTGAGTAAGTGCTTAAGAAGAGATCCAAAAGAACGATGGACGGCCAAACAACTCGTTAAGCATCCATTTCTTGAGGAATTATCCAATGCGAAGAAATTAACAGATGATACGGCCTGCTCGCCAACAAGTATTCTTGATCAAGGCGTTTGGAGCTTCATAGATGAATCAGAAACCTCATACAATCGGCGCAGAATGGATAGCACCTTAAATTCTCCAAACCGAAGGTTGAAGCAGTTGTCAATGAGTTATGGATTAATGGTTAAATGGAATACGGAAGACAGTTGGATAACAGTTAGAGACAGTGAAGATAACAATATTAGGCCAGTTCAATGACAGATAATGATATATATTAGTTGTCAGATAGTAGGGGTAGTAATTTTCTACATAGAGAACACACTGTTGTACAGATTTCAATCTTCTTTTTGATTCATATATGGAGAAAATCGGTATACAATCGAGCACCTGAATTTATTTATTTTTTTTAAAAAAAAAAATTGTGAAGAAATTATAAACATTGGAACTTTTTTTTTATCGGTAAATGTGAATTATATTAATGAAAATGATTTACAATTATAGTGGGCATATTCAATCTAACTTGTTCCCATCAAATCCACATACAACTACACTGGACATTCCCGGGCAAAACAAACAAAATACAAATAAAGAGGCACAACCAATATAGTCGATGACCCATGGCTAATGACTCATATTGAATCAAAACATTCATTGCTATGAAAGTTGCTATAGTTCAGTGGTAACAGATCAACTCTGTGGCTCTCCACATTGACTTTCAGCAGTCACATTTTTCCGGTTAATCTTTGGAAAATTTTGGCACCTATAGCAAATTCATCCCCAACCTTGAAAAATGAACTTTTCAATCTCCAATCTTTACTTTCATTTGCATACTTCGTCCTACAGGTTTTTTATCCACAATACAAAAGTTTTAGCAGTCTACTAGGTATTCAATATATGTATCATCATGTCCCCCGGGACATATCCCAGTGGTGCCAGTATACTCAATATTGCTGGTAGTCGCAGTGTGAGGATTCGATTCCTGAAACATGAACTGTGACTCTTTGTGGATATCAGTGTACAGACAGCTCTTGTTCCCTGGTCTGTTGGGACACCTCCCGCGATTAACCTCTTTCACAATATTTCAAAGACGTGGCGGTGAGGGACCCTTAGGGTTGGGATTCAACCTTTAATATATGTATCATCATGACGAACCCGATTACTCACCTCATAAAACCACATCAAAAAATCCACTTTTGCCAAATCCGAACAACGTAAGCCTTGCATCCCTAGTACATGAGGGACTAAGATAGCATTTGACAAAGAATTGTCATTTACACACAAGTTTTGCCACTACAGAAGTGTTTAAAGCGTGACAAATTCAGCACCCCCCACTTTTGCCAACATTTAACAGGATTCGGAATAAATCCTAAAAAATGATCATTTATTACCCTCGCAAACTGCCCTCAACCACTGTAGTTCTTGAATACACAAACAAAGAAAGAAAGAGAAGAAATTGATCGATGAAGAAGACTCAAGAAAACTGAAAACGCAATTCTCAGCTTTCAAACCCGTGGATTAACCAATAATTGATTTTATACTAACCAGGACATAAACGACACTGCGTGGTTCTTGACTTAATAATCACGATTTTTTAGCCAGTTCTCCAAGATGATTACGTTTTTAGCCAATTCCAAGCTGTAGCACTATTTCATTATTCATATCAAAATATTTCTCCAAAGATTATCCAATAATTTATTAAAATTTATCCAGAAGAGATAGCGTAGATTCAGTAAATTATCGTGTGGTCATATTAAATCGTCTGCTGTTGTCGAAGTATATAGTTGTTCTAGAAATAAATAGAATGAAGTGATGAAAATAGATCAGATACTCAATTATATACCAACTATATGTGTCTCAAATCAAAATTGAAAATGAAATCTGTACAACGGTGTGTTCTCTATGCAGAAAATTACTACCTTACTATCTGACAACTATTGTTTATCGTTATCTGTCACTGAACTGGCCTAATATTGTTATCTTCACCGTTTCTAACTGTTATCCAACTGTCTTCCGTATTCCAGTGAGCCATTAATCCTGAACTCATTGACAACTGCTTCAACCTTCGGTTTGGAGAATTTAAGGTACCATCTGTTTGGCTCCGATGGTATGAGGTTTCTGATTCATCTATGAAGCTCCAAATGCCTTGATCAAGAATACTAGTTGGCGAGCAGGCTGTATCATCTGTTAATTCCTTTGCATTGGATAATTCCTCAAGAAATGGATGCTTAACGAGTTGTTCAGCCGTCCATCGCTGTTTTGGATCTCTTCTTAAGCACTTGCTCAAGAAATCTTTTGCTTTGTCCGAAAGGAACGCTGGAAACTCCGGTAACTCTTCCGACAAGGCAATTCGAAAAAGTAGTGATGATGGATGGCTAAGATTAGGCCAAGGCGAACCGCCTGTGGCCATTTCAATAATCGTGCATCCTAATGCCCAAATATCAGCTGGAAATCCCTGCTCCTCCCCTTTTGCAACTTCTGGTGCCATGAACGCCGGTGTCCCTCCTATCGATGCTTCTCGATCATCCCTTATACCTTCCACCAGATTTTTTATCCTCTTGGCACAACCAAAATCTGAAATTTTAAGACCATCTTCTCCAATCAGAATGTTTCTCCCCTTGATATCACAGTGCGCTATACCAGTTGAATGGAGATATTCCAATCCTTGAACAATTTGGCGTGTGTAGTGAATGATCATGGATTCATCCAGCCGGCCACCGCACTTGTGAATGACGTCCACAAGCGTACCATTACGAACATATTCCATAATCAAATCGAACATGATTGTATTGTTGTGTCGAGTAATGTCATACCCTATGTACTCAACTACAAAAGGACTATTCAAAGAGGACAGAATCTTTTGCTCCCTTTGCAAGAACTCGGATTTCGATAGATATGCTGATTTGACAGCATATGAGTCACCTGACCCCGAAATGGCTATCGACACAGTGGCGGTTGCGCCGTGGCCTATGGTGTGCCCTCTGGTCCACTCCATTTCTGAGAAGTAAAATTGAATTGAAGAAGAAAGCTTTAGATTGGGTGTGCTGTGCTTGTATTTGGATTGGGACCTATATATATGGTGTCATTTTAAATTGAAAGGTCTGTCCAAAATTTAAATTAGTTGGGCAGTGGTTATTAGGTGTCCTCTCCCCCTCAATCGAGTTGACGATTCCTTTAACGGGAGTTAAGTAACGTGGCGAAATGTATGTGGAGGAAATTAGAGATTCGGAGTCAGGTGAGCGGCAATTACTTGGCAAAATGGGCTTTCATCACGTGGCATTAATATTTGGTACAAAAGTGTGTTAGCAGATTTGATTTGGATTGGACAATCCAAAATACTCAACATGCTTTGATGAACTTTGAAGATTAAACTTGGAAGTAATGGTTGGGTCTGTTGGGTTGAACTAACTAATAAGTTGATTTTGATTTCTGGGTATTCCACTTTTTGGTGGAAACTTAAAGTCAAATATGTATACATTAATTTTGTAAGAAAATTAAATTCGACTATCAAATTAGAACATAAACACCCTCAATAGTTTGGCAAATGATCCTAATATTAGGCAAATTAGGATAAGTCCCACTAAATTTTGGACTAATATTAAGGAAATTGCATTATTAATTAATAATAATATATGATAACCTACCTTCTAGATGCAAGAAAAGAATCATTTTTGGTATCTTACGATTTAAACCATATGAATGCAATTGTTCTTAACTTGTAAATCAAGGTTTTAAAAGTAACCAATATTAATGGACAATGAAGATGCTTGAAAAGCCCTAGTGATTGCAAATAATTCAATCACGATGGATGACTACTAAACAAAGCTATCACCTTTGACTACTAATGCACTCTACCCACTTAGAGAATCTAAATGCAAATGTGAATCAAGTTGATGTCATGGAGAAAATTAACGTCAAAAGCTTCATCTAGATTTAGGGTCTGTTTGATAGTAATTATGAAAACTGATTTTTTGACCGTGAAAGAGAAAAATATGTCTCAACTGTGAGTGAAGAAGTTAAAAATGGCAGTTAAAATAGTGAAATAATGGTCAAAAAATTGATTTTTTTTTTATCGTGAAAGAGAAAATTGGATCTCGTCTATGAGTGAAGAAATTAAAAAATGACAATTAGAATAGTGAAATAATGTTCAAAAAATTGATTTTTTTTCATTGAAAAATTGCTACCAAACTGGAGCTTATAAGTTTTGTTAGATGAAGTGACTCAACAAAATTAATATTTTATTTTCAAATTTATATTTCATATCCTGATTTAGAAGTGATTTTATTTTTATATTAAGACAATAAAAAACCTCAATAGCAATTCATAAAATTTAAAACAAAAAATAGATGACATTTATTAGATATCAATTGTAGATAAAAAGTCTTTCAACTTAAGTACAACCTAAACATCAATCCATAAAATTCACATTTTTACCACTTCAATTCTACACAAATCCATGGTTTAAATTTGTACACGTAGCACAAAATTTTGAAATCTATATAAAATTTGCAATAATAATAAATTTGGTAAAGACAGAATTTGAATGATATATTTATGATATTTTTTAAAAACAGAATAAACTTTTAAAAAAGTGATTTAACATGATGGATTCAAGTCTCCACATTACATATTTGATAAAAGTGTGAATTTATTAAGTTTTAAAGAGAAAAATGAACCCGTCCAACTAGTCATGATCCTCTCTGCCGCTTGAAATTTAAGATCGTTATTGCGATCTAAAAGAGTAAAGTTTGAAATTGGGAAAGAAGTGAGTTGGAGTTGGTTTGAAGTAGAAGCTAAGGGATTCAAGATGTTGTAACCAATTTTACCAAATTGAAGAGAACCACTCCTACAGCACACTAAACAACAATACTTGGAATTTAATTAGTAGTAAATTAATAAAATGACAAAATGAATGGACCATTCCATTGACTCCATTACTTGATAGGTGGTACCAAAATATGAGATCTATTGGGGTGATAAAACGTTACGAAATATTTTTATTTTAATTGCAATATTCAACTTATTTATTTGATAATAAAATAAAAATTATTTTCACAAAAAAAAAAAGAAAAAGAAAAAGAAAAAAAGAAAAGAAGAAGAAGAAGAAGATTATTTTAAAACTTACTTAAGTAAACATAATTTTCTTATGTTTAGCTAAACATGCATTATGTATCAATCAATTAAATACGTAGATCTACTTTGTAAACTAGTGGAATCAGGGGCGGACCCAACTGGGTCCCTAGGGTCACTTGACCCTCAAGCTTTTTCAAGGATTTTTTTTTTTTTTTTTTGGGTCTTAGTTTTCGGGTTCACTATGAAATATCGAACAAAGTTGAAATATTACATTCTTAATATCATTTTGAAGTACTCACGGCATAGTATTTTTCGTTGTTAATGTTGTGCGAAATAGCCAATCGTAGCAAATGTTACGACGCGTCAAAATAGGACGTTTGAAACTAATATTTCAATAATTTTGATAACAAGCCAACTTTAAAAAAAATTGACGATTATACATTAACCATATCCATAAATCTTCTATATCTGCTCGAAACTTATTTCGAGAACTATATCATAAACATAACGAATTATCTAAATGAATATCGAAAATAGTTAAACGTACGTCAAACGTGTATGCTAAAAAGAGACGTATAATTTTTTTAAAAAATAATTAATTGATTGAGAGGAAAAAGTAAAAATAATAAAAAAATTCCTAAAAATGATCAATTTTTTTTTTTAAATATATAAATTTTCTAGATATAAAAATAATCAAGATGAAAAAGTAGTATAACGGTTTATAACTCATATAAAGTAATAAAAAAAATTTCTTCCCTTTTTTAAAAAATTTGATTGTAACACCCTAATATAAAATGTTTGCGTCCGCCCCTGAGTGGAATGACTAAGATAGATAACCATCAAGAGCCATTTGTCACCAAAATGTCAAGTGCGTCTATTCTTTCCCTTTCTCCCATTTTCATTTGATTTTTTTCTTTTTCTTACGAGAAGACCGTGTAAAATGTCATAAATTAACGCTTTTTTACTTATGACTTTTTCTCTATCTTGTATTATCAGTCAACTAAATTAGACGGATCAACCATCAACTCGAGTCAATTAATGACCCCGATTTAAGTTGTGAATTCGGAGAAATGTATTTTTAAAAATAAAGTTTGACAAGATTCTAATAAACAAAAGGCTTATTAAAAACAAGCACGACAATCTTTTCCTTGATTGAATTTCAATAAATTAACGACTTGGGAATTTTTCCTCAATCCTCAAGGTTGAAAACTTTGTTCATGTGCAAATAATTATTTGAGATCGCTTATCTGTTTTTATTTGGACTTTCATCTACGTATCAAATTTAGTTTTATCGAATAATTTTGACTTGTTTAAAATTTAAAAATAAATAAATAAATAAAATAATGCCACAATCAAATAGCTGATTCAAACGTAAGCGTGAACTCGCTATTTGAATTTGTACTGTCTGTTAATGTTACTTATGGAATCATTTACAATCTCCTATCTTTACAAATTCCAACATAAATTTGCAATCTCCTATATTAACAAATTCAAAGATAAAACACCCCTCATGGGGTAGCCGAGTTGATAGAGTAGGTGAGCGCGAAGACCTTTGATCATGAATTCGATTCCCCCTACCAACACTTTTTCGGTCGATCCTGTTGCAAAGGGCTTGCTTAATGCGATTTACCTGACTAGCGTGGTTTGCAAGCTATTGCGTCAACTCGAGGGTTTACCCAGTGCGCACCCAAACGGTAACGGCTGTGGGTTCCCCTGTCCCAAAAAAAAAAAAAAAAAAAAAAAAATACAAAGGGGTATAATGTCAACCTATAATAAATAAATGACAAATAGAATATAAATAAAATAAACAGCTCTCACTTACTGAATTTTGACCTTTTTTTAGAGAGATGAGTTATTAAAAATTTGATGGTACCATTGATTTTTCGTTTTGACCATTTTTTGTTTGTTTAAAGTCTAAATAGTATTTGGACATTCATACCATCACTTAATCATATGAGGTGCATATGCATCATGCATGATTCACAGTTTAATTGGGTGGAAAGCATCACTAAGGATCAGCCATACTAATTAATGAAGGATTGAGAACAAAAGTACGACAAAGTAAAAAAGAATGGGGACAAAGTTGTTACATGAGGCAAAAGTTGGGGACAGTAAGTGCAATTAAACCTAAATATTTAAGCTATGGGGCAAAAAGTGGGATAATCAAATGTTGCATTCCTATGAAAACAAATTTATCTTCATTTTAAATTTATTTCTTATGTATAAAAAGAAAAAAGGGCACAGTCCAAACATCGCATCCATTCAAAGTTTTTTAAATTAGTGCTTTTTGACAACATGATTCTTGTCCTTGACTTTTAACCCAACCCCCCACACTATATATATCTCATAATTTCACAAAGAAATGTAAATACATCAAAACCAGGCTTAAGACACCATTTTCTTCCTTTAAGGTTCTTTATCAATCAACAATGACATCAAATTCAATCAAACTGTCCTTACTTATGTTTCTAGCCATAATCATGTGTACTTCACAAGTAGAACTTGGTCAGCTTAAAGAAACAAAAATGTCAATATATTTTCAAGATTGGTCAGGTGGACCTAATGCAACTATAATACAGATCACGATGGAACAACGTCCCAATAAGCTTCTTAATTTTACCAAATTTGGAGCCATCTTTGTCACCGATGATCCAGTAACAGAAGGGTTTGATGGAAGCTCGGCCCAGGTTGCACGAGCCCAAGGTATGTATGTGACTTCGGCTTTAGATGGATCTAATACACATGTCCTCATATCAATTGTCTTCACTAACGAGGAGTACAAAGGTAGTACTCTTGAAATACAAGGAAGCAGTGCTCAGTTTGATAGAGTAAGAGAAGTGGCGGTTGTGGGTGGCACTGGACAATTTCGCCTTGCACGAGGTTTTGTTACTTTTGAGACTATTTATTATGACCCTATTATTCACTACGCAGTTGTCCAATGTAACGTTACCGTATTACACTATTGATTGGGATAAAGAATTTATTTGAGTCGTAATAATAAATTTCTGAAATTAGTTTCAAATTTATTTTAATTACGAAACAAGTTATTTGTAGTGTGTTTGTTGAAGTCTCGTGCAGATGGCTTTTCC